TTAGAACCATGTCTTGAGGTTTTCAAAATAATTAAGGACACATTATATTTCATCAAATAAAATGTCATACAACATAAATATGATGGTTCTGGCCTCCTAGAAACATATCACCAACCTTAGTTCCTGTGGACAAAAAACTAGATGCTCACCATAGAGCTCATCACTAACTTTCTAAAGTCATCTTGTGATGTAGAACTAGAGAGAAATAGAAGTAGAGAATTAGGGTTGGGAAAATTATCTCAATTCATCAAAATTGATTATAATGTCGTAGCAAGAATATTTATAGGGGACAAACCCTAGGTCCAAATTAAATACAAAAATAATAATAAAATTTTTAAAATTATTAAAAGGACTAAATAAGTCTAGCTACTAAATTAATTCTTAAACTTCCTATGAAAATAGCACTGCTTAAAGGACTTTCACCCTTTAGGTTGGGCGCCATGATTCTCCTTTGGTTGAAAAGAACCCAACTCCGGAGAGGGAGAAGCCAAATATTCTTCAAGGAAAGCAAGAGCAAGATCAAGAAGTTCTTGTTCATTCAACCAAGAATTATCTGAGGGTGGATGTCCTTTCCATTACACTAAATAACGTCAAAAACCTCCATGTTTAGAGCCAACAAATTGATCATCCAAAACCTTGATAACCTCCTCATAGCAATGTGCAAAAAGAGGCTCTTTAGGAGCGGCTATACCTGCAACGTTACTAGAAGACAAAGTAAGGGGTTCAAACGTACCTTTATAAGGCAACAAATCTGCTATATTGAAAACTAGACAAATAGAATAACGATTACGTAAATCAAGTAAATATGTGTTAGGTCCAAGTTTTTGCATAATGGGGTAAGGCCCAATGGCTCTAGCAAATAATTTTTTTGAAGCATTCTTTAGGACATGCTTAGGGAAAACCCAAACCATTATAAAATCACCAACATTAAAATCTTTAGCTTTACGATGCACATCAGTAGCTAATTTATAATCAGTAGTATTCATAGTAATTTTTTCGTCTAATCTTAGCATGCAAGTCATGGAGGTGTTGAGCAAAATATTCAGCAAGTTTAGAGACACGAAAATTAGGTGGAAGAGGAACAAGGTCAATAGGGGTATGAGGTTTGTAGCCATACACAATTTCAAATGGACTATTGCCAATGGTACGGTGAATCGAATTGTTATATGCAAACTCAACAGTAGGTAGAACTAAGTCCTAATTACGTTACTTCTCTCCAACACAACAATGTAAAAAATTCCCAAGACTACGGTTAACAACCTCAATTTGGCCATTAGTTTGAGGGTGAAAGGCACTAGAGAAGAGAAGGGTAGTACCAGACAATTTCCATAATGTCTTCCAAAAGTAACTAACAAACTTGATATCTCTATTTGACACAATTGACTCAGGTAAACCATGTAACTTGGCACTTTTCAGAACAACAATCTAGTGACGTGAGATGCATCAGTAGTTTTGCTACATGGAAGAAAATGTGCCATTTTAGAGAACCTATCAACAACCACCAAAATGGAATCATGACCTCTAGCGGCTCTTGGTAACCCTAAGACAAAATCCATACTTATCTTTTTCCAAGGTGCATGAGGAATACGAAGGGAGGTGTACAGACTAGTATTTTGTTTTTTTACCTTTGACACTTGACATGTATGACATTGGGTGACAATTCTAGCCACATCCCGCTTTAAACTAGGCCAATAAAACCTATCCTTAACCAAGGCAATAGTTTTATCCCTTCCAAAATGGCCAGCCAAACCACTTGCTTCTAGTTCCCTAAGTAGAAAATCTCTAAGTGAAGTTTGTGGAATATAAAGTCTAGTAGCTTTAAACAAGTACCATCATGCACTAAAAAGTCAACACAATCCTTACGAGTTCCACTCACAACCTCACTATAAATTAGCCCAAAATCAAGACATCTAATGTACTCATTCTTTAACCTATCAAAGCCCACACACTAGCATGTAATGTATGAACAGTGCAGACTCGCCTACTAAGACAATCAATAGCCTTATTTTCAACCCCAGATGTATGTTTTAAAACAAATGTGTACTTATTTAAGAATGCTACTGACCTAGCATGCCTAGCATTTAAGTGTTTTTGAGCATGTAGATATTTCAATGCTTGGTAATCACAATAAAACACAAACTCAAAAGGCAACAAATAATACCACCAACAACAAAGAGATTGAATAACAACATAAAGTTCTCTATCATAGGTGGAATATTTTTGCCTAGCTTCAGATAATTTCTCACTAAAGAATGAAATAGGATGACTTTCTTGACTCAGTACCCCACCTATGCCTACCCCAGAAGCATCACAAGCGACCTCAAAAGGTTTATGAAAATTAGGATGCCTGAGAACTGGACTTTCAGTCAATTTTTGCTTAAGTTCTACAAATGCTCTAAAAGCAACAAGGGTCCAATTAAACTCACCTTTCCTAAGATAGTCGGTGATTGGGGCCATAATGGTACTAAATCCTTTAATAAAGCGACTATAAAAAGTACTTAAACCATGAAAACTATGAGTTTCAGAAATTGTAGTAGGTTTAGGCCACTCTTTAATAGCTTTTACCTTGTCAGGATCCACTGCTATACCTTCTGTTGATATTATAAAACCTAAGAAAAGAACACTAGATTAGAGGAAAGTGCATTTCCTAAGGTTAGCGGAAAGTTTTACAGCCCTAAGTGCCAAAAATAATTATCGTAAATGGTCTAGGTGCTCCTCCTTAGACTTGCTAAAAATTAAAATGTCATCAAAATAGACCACTATGAACTTTCCTACAAAAGATTGCAATTCATGGGTCATAGTTTGTAGGAAAGTACTAAGAGCATTAGAGAGACCAAACGGCATAACAAGCCACTCAAAAAAACCATCCTAAGTTTTAAAGGCAGTTTTCCACTCATCCTTGGGCCTAATATGAATTTGGTGGTAGCCATTATGTAGGTTTGTTTTGGAAAACTAACTAGAACCAGCTAATGTGTCTAACATATCCTCAAGATGTGGAATAGGGAACCTATATTTGACAGTAATTTTGTTAATGGCATGACTATTGTTATACCCTAAATCAAGTCGCATGAGAATCAAGACACGTGGAGACATTCTAGAGATAGTCTTATCAAAATTGGCTAGGATAAATCCCACTAGAATAAGAATACCCCAAACACCAATTAAATAAAATTGTATTCCTAGAATAACTGTATTTAAGCATTGTATAAATACCTCTAGGATCAACCTAAGGAGGTAGATTATTTTTCATCTCTATTCTCTCTTCATTGTAAACTCTTGCTAACAATAAAGATCTCGGTTCCACACCATCTATTCTAATTTTTAGTGTTAACATTTGGCGCCCATTGTGGGGCCGAGTTCTTATTCCCCAAGAATAACACATGGCGAACTTGGGAAACTCATTAACACCTCCCAACAACATTCAAAATTCTGGAAATAACAAAGGAATGAGCACCTTCTCTTCATCAAGAACAAATTCCAATGACGATATTGGTAGATCTAAACCAGAAGCTCTGTCAATAGCATCACAAGTGCGAAGGCTTGTGTAGGATATAGAGGAAACAAGGCAAAGCTTGAAGGCAGTTGAAAAGGCCATAGTGTCCTTCACCAACAAAGTAAATACTCTGACACAAAATATGAGAAGACAGAGGAGAGAATGCAGAGGATTTTGCCATCCAAAAACACAAGGGCAGAGGATTTAGTGCGTGGAAAGAGTAATTATGATGATGGATGCTACTCACCTTCAAGACCAACAGAGTTGATTATTGATTCATATCTGTAGCCATCTCCTACTTTCACTAAGTACAAAATCCAGGAAAGAGACATGCGGACAAACACATAAACAAACGGAAGAAAAGGTGCACCACAAAATCATGGAACTTCTGATGCTTTGTTATGCAAGCAATTTCTTATGACCTTCAAGAAAACAACGCAAGCTTAGACTCCCTAGAAAACCAATCATCACCTGTTGATAATCAAACAACAAATAGATGAATCATTAAGAGCCTACATAGCAAGATTCCATATTGAGGCTGTGAAAATTGAAAAGTTAGACCAAAGCAAAAGATCTACAAGTAAAGAAGCATAAAGCTGCAAAAAGCAAAAGAAAGCTACGATCCCAACTAAGTATATTTACTTTTTAATTTTCTAATCTTCAACCTTAATAATCATGCAAGTTATTGTATTTTTAGGAAAACTAACCTTTCTCTTGAGAAACTTTTGGGAGAAGGCCACATAGGCCAAAAAGCTCCAAGCAGAGGAATTCAATTACAAGATGCACAGGTTTAACAAGAGTTATGAGACAGAAAGCCACAAAGCAAAATCCAATGCAAGAGCAAAAGCTGCGAGCAAGTTTGGATGTACATAAATATCCAAGCAAAGTTACGCAAGCAAAAGCTATGAGCAAGTTTGGGTGTATATAAATACCCAAGCAAAAAGAAAAAGCTACGAGCAAGTTTGGATATACATAAATATCCAAGCAAAAGTTACGCAAGCAAAAGGTGTGAGCAAGTTTGGGTGTACATTAAATACCCAAGCAGAAATTACACAAGCAAAAAGCTGTGAGCAAGTTTGGGTG